TCAAGTCGTCATTGCTCTTAGGAACTAAACATTTGTCGCACTTCTCTGAGGAAAATTTTGCATAAAGACCTCGATATAAAGGCTTACAAAGTTCAATTAGTCCAAGAACTGAAGCCTCATGACCTCATGACGCGCTTTCGATTCGCCCAACAGGCTGGAGATAGCTTAGCTGGAGATGAGCATTTTTACCGAAAAACCATCTTTTCAAATGAAGCCTAAGTCTTTTCAATTCGCCTCGAAGCTGTGATTTGATCTCGTTTGACTATTTTTTGTGGGATGCCGTTAATGACAAATGTTACGCTAACCACCCAGAGACGATTATAGACTTGAATCACGAAATCGAAGTTGCCATTCATGAAATTCAAGATCAAACAATCGAAAAAGTACTGAAAATTGAGTTGATCGGATGATGTACCGTAGAGGCAACTGAGACATTCATTTGAATAATGTTGTGTTTCATTCTTAAATGTAAAGGTTCCATCTTTCTAATAAAATCATACTTTTGAAAAAATATTCACTACTTTTTTTTTTCACGCCAAACTTGATTTTTGTCATTGAATTCTGTAATTTGTGATGTAATTCTGTTCATTTTTTTAAAGTTTTGGTCCTCAAACATATCCTCCGCGCGTTCTGTGATGGGTTAATTAACATTTATGCTTGATCTTGGTTGTTTTGCTTGTTTTTATTGGTTATATTATGTACTAGTAGTTATGAAATTTGTAATTAGGGGCAACCCTGTAATTTCGGAAGTAAAATAAATAAAATAAAATAAAATAATCGCTGATTCAAATTACAAACGTTAGATGGAATATCCGATCCGCCCATCTTTACAATTATTTTGTCATGAATAGCATACTTATAAAACAGTATAGGTATGTATTAATTAAAAAAAACTTACCTAACAATTAAAAGACATTGATGGCGCTTCTAAAATGCAGTGAAAACCAAACAGAATTTATGTTTCCCCCTTTAAAACATAAAAGTTTTATCTGAAATTTTTTCGATAAAATTGATGGTTTATGAGTTATAAGGTCGTCTCAATTTAAATGCCTCGCCCGGTATATTAACAATAACTAAAAACTGCATAAACCATTGAATAAATCCTTCTTTAAAAAGAACTTAAAAAAATTAGAAAACAAGCCTAATTCAAAACCAAGAACAACATAAAATATTGTTTTCAGTTTATTCCATCATTTACGATTACACTTTTGATGAAGAATACACCTAACCAAAATATGTAAGGTTTTTAATAAATAGAATAGATTAAAGTAAAATAGAATTTAAATAGATTTTAATAAATTAATATTAAGAAAAATTAAAATGGTTACCTGTAAACATTAATAATTACTATACTCTATTTTTTAATTCGGAGGGGTGTTTTCAAATTGAAGCGCCAAAAAGAAGGGTTGTTATTGGCCGCCTAGAAACATTCGGGTTAAGCCGCACGTCTCTCAGTACGGCTAAACCCGAATGATTCTAGCTACAAGCACTTGTGATAGTTCTAGTGATAGTCTGATAGGGTTTGTGTAAAACTACAACTAACACTAGACCTAGAACTAGAAAATATCGGGTTTAGCCGTGCGTCTGAAGACGAAACACTAAACTTTCTAGTTCTAGGTCTAATGTTAGTTCTAGTTTTAGTTCAATAAAAATATACAACATAGTAATATCTTATGCTAACTAGCGCTACCTACCACTGCCACTAGAACTACCACAAGACCGAGAATTGGAAACATTCGGATTTAGCCGCACGTATCTTAAGACGGCTAAGCCCAAATGATTCTAGTTCTAGGTCTTGTGTTAGTTCTAGTGATAGTGCTAGTGTAAAACTAGAACTAACACTAAACCTAGAACTAGAAAATATCGGGTTTGGCCGTGCGTCTTTAGACGAAACTTTCTAGTTCTAGTGTTAGTTCTAGTTTTAGTTCAATAAAAATATACAACATAGTAATATCGTATGCTAACTAGCGCTACCTACCACTGCCACTAGAACTAACACCAGACCCAGAACTAGAAACATTCGGACTCAGCCGCACGTAGTGTTCAAACCAGATAACAATAAATCCGGTCTAGGCCGGATTTTAAGCATTTAGACCAGACTCCGCCCGGATGTCATTTTAGACCGGATTTTTGTCATTTTTGACAGCTTTGAAAAACGAAACATCGACGACTATTGCAAATCATTTACTAACAACGCTTGAAAAATATAATTTAAAAGATAAATGCGTTTGGAGGTGTTGCTAGAAATGTAGGTAACATTGTGATCCTACTTCTGAACCAAAACTAGAAATCAAGAGATTGTGAGTGTTGGTTGTCCAGCCATTTAATATTATTATTAAATGACTTAGGCCCACTTTTACCATCCTCCTGATAAACTATCTAGAGGATAGTTGCCATGGTTACGGCAGTTTTAAGCGCTCTCATTGGCTAAGAGCTGGATTTATCTATCGGATAAATTTATCAAGAGGTGGTAAAAGTGGGCCTTAATAAATTATTAATAGATGGCGATCATATACAGGGGTTGTCCCGAAACTCAACGTCAAGCGGGCACCGGGTGAGAGGCCAACCCATACCTGTTCTGGTAAAAATAAGAAAAAAAATGCTATGTCTCTTAGTTAAGTGGTAATAGACACATCTTTGAAAATGTTAAAAATTGTTCCCGTACATCATATCTTTAGGTACTATGGTCAGAAATGTTCGCAATTTAATAGTGATTTTTTTAATAATGTATTTCTAATGAACCATGCTACTATAGCAATCACAAATTGACCAAGAAAAGTCGTTAGTTTTGCGAAAAAAAAGTATTAGTTTGATTGAGTTAAGGTTGAAAGAATTTATGTCTATTTAGGTTAACACACAATTTCTACACAAAGAAGTAGTACAACACCCTTGGCAAGTTATTTTAAAAGATGGCCAGTTTAGTCAAGACTCCAAAACGGTATAACACTTGCCATTTTTCTTTTCCTAAAAAATATTATTGCTTATTTTTCAGCAAAAAACGCGTTATTTAAAAAATTCATACTTTCGTATGTTATTTGTATTTCCTCCAAAATGATTTAACAACTTTGTTAGAAGATGTGCCACTCAATATCTACAGAGAAATGTGGTTTCAACAAGATGGTTGCCCNTTAGAATATTACATATTAGAAAATGAAGTAAATTTTAAGTACCGTAATTTACAGGAAACTTTGACTTTGACGATACTAAAAAAAAAGTTTATTTTTAACTTTATTCTAAAATAATAAGAAATAGACCTATCTAACCCCATATTTTTGTAATCAGAAAAAAATAACGAATTTAATAAGCGAATAATCAGTGGTTGTTTCCATTTAAAAAAACGAAAATTGTCATGATATCTCAAAATCTAAAACCGAAATTTTTTTTTGATTACGTCAAGAATTTCTCTGTAAAAAAGTGTCCATATAATGTCTTAATTATAATACTACACCTATAATAATAACCAAGATAATTGCACTTGCTGGTTTTACGATATTTTTAATTTAATCTCTAGGGGAAAAACAAAAGACGATAGCGCTTTGAGGTTTTTGACATTAGCAGTTTCTCGAAAAACGAGATCATGACATGTAAGTTACTTTTTGTCTAACTCTTATAGTTTCCGAGATAGCCTATTCGGACATCGAATTTGAACCACCCTGTACAGGCAACTTTTGGAGCATTCTGAAAACGTATTGAAAAATGCGCAAATTTAGGAGGTAATTTGATAGAGACTTACATGCAGTCTGAAGTTATAATTTATTATTATTTTATTAATAATTCAATAATTTGTAATAATTAAGTGTGAGTCTTTTCCTCTTTCCTTTTTTGTTGTATTTTTCATATAAAAAGAGAGTACTAAAGTATTATTTTAAGTAATTTTTTTTGTGAGCGAATAAACACTTAATTTGTTTGTGAACATTTTAAGAACGTTTTGTTTGTTTCTCCCGAACAATCTGAATCTCAAAACAAAAATCGTAATAAAGTACTATTGACAAAAATAATAAACAATGGGTTTTATCAAAGTAAGCCGATGATTCCGAAAATTTGCATATGGTTATAACTTTTCATTCTCAATAAAATTTCTTAGTAACATTTTGGGATACTGTAAACAGAAAAGGTACTTTACTTGCCACAAAAAAAGTTTTTCTTTCACTGTCAAGGCTCACTTGTTTTTTAAACATTAAAAATATGTTCAAAATTAGTCTTTAACCAAGCAGGGCTAAACCCCAAAAAATGACAATTAATACCGCAAAAATTTTACTTTTTATAAGAGTCGTTTCACCTATTAGTGGACACACTGTATACTATATTCCATACATAATGGGCACCTGTATAGTTGTTAGGGCTCCTAGTACAGTGAACTTATCTCCTTCACTTTTTATTTTAATGTTAATCGAATGTTTATCATAGTTTTTACCCATCTACGTAATTCAGAACCATTCTTATTCCTTCTTTTGACTTTTTGGATAAGGAAAGCTCAAATAAATGTCAGTGTGACATATTTATTTCAAAACATGATAAACAAAACTCCCTGTTATGTTTGCCAACTTTACAACAATTTGACAGGTATTATAGAAAAAAAAACTGTAGGTTTTTACTATGTTTAAACAAATAAGTAATTAAATTTGTAACTCCAGTTTACTTAAAATCCTCTCTAGTTTTAAAACTCCCGCCAAAAAATAGCTTTGAAAAATTACACTGTGTAAACGTAACTTCTCATTTTACTCCTCCGAATTAAAAAATAAAGTATAATATGATACAAAATGTGAATTAAAATACCTTTTCTAATACTTTGTAATGAAGTTTGTATAAAAATACAATGAGTGTAATTTGGAACATTAAATTTTAAATGTTCTTATCTGAGAGATATATCAAATATGTGCACAACCATAGTAACACAATATTAATATGAATGATAAAAATGATATAGTGGGGTACATCCAATACTTACACCAGATATTTTAATTTCTACGGCTCTAAGCTATAATTTCAATTGGTAATACCTCAATATCGAAATCCAATAGGTTAAAAGCAGTTCGAAACAATGAACAGAAGTGTGCAATACTGGGAACTTCCCACCATGACTGAATATCTAAAACAAGACAACACAACACCGTTAGTATACGCATCCGAAAATCGCCGTAAATGAATATAAATAAACAATAAACACACCTAGGATGCTAATGAAAGTTGGAAACATAACCTGTACCGTAATCAATACACGACTATAAATTCGTTAGATTCATACTATTCTTTACGCGAAAAAACGTTACGTTCGTACGATGGGGCCCATTACGATAATGATCGCGGTTGATTTTTCGTTACTCGGTCGGTCAAAATAGTAATGTTATTAAAAATAAAGCCATTTCTTTTCGACGACAAGCTTTGATAGGCTTCCCCGTTCGCGGAGTTACTAACCGATGGATGTAGTGACTGTTGTTTTACTAGTCACCAAGGCGTGCACTCATTTATCATCCAAAATTTAAAGAATATTTACCGGTCAATTAAGGTTGGTCCTTAAGTTTGTGACAACGCTTCGCACAGATGGAATTACGATTAAAATTACGAACGTCTTTTGAAAACCGGAAACTCGTAAATTCTTGGTACCTTTTACCGCTTCTTGGCACACACTCGCCAACCAATCAGAGCGTAGCATTTTGAACTTGGGCAAACAGACGCATACTTGGTCGTCACCGTCGTCATCAAGAGATGGAGAGAGAGAAGGGGCAGGGGATTAAAGAGTCTTTTTGACATTTTCATTTTACATCTGATGCATGTAAACAAAACTGATCTTGTGTTTTCGAGTTTTTTTATTTAAGACTGTGTAAGGTGTTTTTTTTTAGAGTTACACGATATCAAATAATAATGTCCGGAGCTAGGTCGGAATTTCCACTGGAAGATGTTAATATAAATGGACCTAATTACCTTAAACATGCCTTAACGAGCTGTACAGATCCTTTGAAAGCAATTGAAGAGTTTCAAGTAAGCCTAATTAAATTTATTATAATAATGTTTAATATACTTCCAGTATTCAATATAATCCTAATAATTATTTCAGACAATTAATCGAATGATATAATACATATTTTGAAGACTTTCATTTAATGTATTGTCAATTTGAAATTGATTTGACCTATACATTTATAATTTTGAGGTTATGTGCTTGTTTAATTAATTCTTTTCTAAATGTTTTATTCTTTTGCTACTCTTGTTACAAAATAAGCTAAAAAATAATCTTAAAAAATTAGCTTTCTTTAACATATTAATTTTAACCATCTAAATATAAGAGATTTGTGTTTTTAGATACACATTGGACTAAATATCCATTGAGTGCATTTCATGACGAAAATACTTAATACAGGTGTCCCTTGTATAACATGGTACTTGTAAAAGACGGTTTTGATATTACACGGTACAAAACTTGAATTTAATATTATACGGTTTTGATATAACACGAATTTAAAAAAACTTGAATTTCATTTTTGTTCAATGTTAAGTTTGAGTTTTAGTTGCATAAACAAGAGCTTGCTTCAAATGTAAAAAACCAGGACATATGGCAAGATTTTGTAAAATTAAACAAGACTAAAAGAAAGAAATAAATAAAGAAATAATGTGCTTCAAGTGCAATGAAAAAGGTAATATTGCAAGAAATTGTAGTGAAAATAGTGGAAAAGAACAATAGAAGGACAAATGTGGAATATGCAAGAAGAACAATCACACTGCAAAAATTGTTATTTTAGAAAGAAAGATACAGAAACAAAAACAGCTTTTCTTATAGAAGAAATAAAAATGGGAAGTAGAGATATACAGGTGTTCCAGTGACTCGGGGCATAAAATTAACCTCATATACTAGAGCAAAAATGATGACGATTCGTGAAAAAAAATTATTATAAAAGTCTTCAAATGGCCAAGATATGGGCCATCAAAGTTCCGAAATTTTAACACATTTTTCTAAATATTTTCAATACCATTTATGGTAGAGCGTTGAAATTTGGTACAGGGTAAACAAATATCAAGCAAAATCATTGAACCAATTTTGACTTTGATCGGACGGCGGCAACCATGTTATACAGGCTGTCCCTAAAATTTGTTTGCTCAGAACTTTTTTGTTCGCTCGTTACCCTACATTTATTTTTGTACTTTTTAATAGAAAATTTATTTTAGAAACTTTTATCACTCTTTGAAAATTTTGATAACATTGACCGTTTTCAAGTTATTCGCGAAAATGTTAAGCTTTGATTTCAATCGTAACATACAAAAAAAGGAAACATATTCCGCAAGATCTGAGTTGGCGATGACAATTGAAAAACGAACTGAGCTAATAACCATTATTTGCACTAATTTCTAAGTGTGTAATTTCCAAAACAATAAATTTAATTTTCACGGTAACAACCAACAAGAACATAACAAAAATTCTAACAAAAATATTAACAAGAACAGTAAAATTATAAACAAATACCTAGTAATAAATAAAAAAGAAGAAAAAAATACTAAAGCAGATGTTCAAAAACACTCCCCCGGCATCAATGCACGCCTGATATCGCCGTCTTAAATTAAAGCGCACTTTGCAGAGAACATTGATCTTAGTTCGAAGTTGATCAAATGAATCAACAATTCGCAACCTCAGTTGATCAACTGAAGTTATTTTAACGCAGTAAACTAGCGATTTAACGCGTCCCCATAAATAAAAATCTACAGGTGTAAGATCCGGAGATCGGGGGGGCCAACTTATCGGTGCACCTACTCCTCGTCCAATCCACGTCCTGGAAAACGTTCCCTCAGAAATTCTTGCACAGCCTGTGTGCTATGCGCAGGAGCACCATCATGCATATACCACATTGCTTGCCTTGTGTTTAAAGGAACGTCATCTAAAAAATCATCTAATTCCTGTAAATGTCGCCTATATGTATATCCATCCAGCTTTGATGGCAAGAAAACGGGTCCAATAATTACATCACTCACAATGCCAGCCCAAACGTTAAGAGAAAATCTCCATTGTGATTTCCAAGTTTTCTTAAATCTTGGATTTTCGTCCGCCCAACTATGTAAATTTCTCAAATTGATGATTCCATTTTAGAAAAAGTGGATTCATCTGTAAAAAGCACTTTTTCTAAAAACTGATCATCAATTTGGATTTTGTGCTGCATTATTTGGCAATATTGCAGTCGCAGTGGGTAATCAGCCAGTCGAACTTCCTGAACTTTGTAACAATGAAATGGATAAAGCTGTTGCTCGTGAAGAACACGCCAGACAGTTGTTTTTGAAGTTAAAAAATGCCTCGCCATATCCAAAGTACTGTAGTATTTTCTTCTACATAGTCCAGAATATCTTCTTCTAGTTCGGGTGTTCGGACTGATCTTACGTTACCGTTGTTAGTAAATTTCGGCCTAAACGTCCCATTTTCCCATAAACGGGTTTCAATCCTTAAAAATGTTTTTTGATTGGGCGCTCTGCGGTTCGGAAATTTCTCCCGATAACGGTTAGCGACTGCTACGGCGTTTCCATGACATTCCCCTAATGTCAAAATCATGTCAGTTTGTTCACTAAATGTGTAACTCTCCATTTTGAACACTTAAAATTAATAAAACCTTAACTAACAAAAAACTATCGTTTGTGTTTAAACGACATAAGCAAGTTGACAGCTCAATTTGTTTTTTTTAATTGCCATGGCCAACCTTGACTTTTTCGAAGATTTTTGTTTTTTTAGTGTTACCAATGAAATCGAAGCTTAATATTTTAGCGTATAACTCGAAAACGGTCAATGTTATCAAAATTTTCAAAGAGTGATAAAAGTTTCTAAAATAATTTTTTTATTAAAAAGTACAAAAATAAATGTAGGGTTACGAGCGAACAAAAAAGTTCTGAGCAAACAAATTTTAGGACCATTCTGTATAGCATGGTTGTCGCCGCCCGATCAAAGTCAAAATTGGTTCAATGATTTTGCTTGATATTTGTTTACCTTTGATGGAATTGAAAATATTTAGAAAAATGTGTTAAAATTTCTGAACTTTGATGGCCCATATCTTGGCCATTTGAAGACTTTTATAATAATTTTTTTTCACGAATCGTCATCATTTTTGCTCTAGTATATGAGGTTAATTTTATGCCCCGAGTCACCGGAACATCCTGTAGATGTCGTTAAAGTTGGAAACGGATTCAGAAACGAAATTCACATTTTTACAGCAGACCAAGCAAACAGTGCACTCTATTTATAATTTCGTATTTATTAGTGATAATAACCAAAAAAACATCAAAATTAGCATTAAAGAGAGTAAAATAGAAAACCCCTCTGAAACTTTCAATTAAAATTTATTATTATTAAATAAAAATAAAATATCTAAGCACCACCCGGAAATTCAGAGCATAAAGGGTCGAAATCATCCCCTAAATAAGTAAAATATTCACAACTTTCTTGAAAAATTTTGTGACACCTCTAAACTCAGTCCAAAGATCGAATATAACCTTTCGAATAACATATCCGCGAGATTCGCGGAAATTCAGGAGATAAGGGGTCGAAATCACCCCCGAAATATGTACAAAATTCATAACTTTTTTGAAAAATTTTGTGACCACCAAACTCAGTCCAAAGATCGAAAATAACGTTTCGAACAACATATCCGCAAGATTCGCTTAAGTTCAGGGGATAAGGGGTCGAAATCACCCCCGAAATACGTAAAAAATTGATAACTTTGTCGAAACATTTTGTGACACCTCCAAACTCAGTCCAAAGATCGAAAATAACGTTTCGAATAACATATCCACGAGATTCGCGGAAATTCAAATTTTGTGACACCTCCAAACTCACAAGGGAAGTATCAGAACTGTCCTTCACCGATTTTGTTGAAATTTGGTACAGAGATAGTATGGCCAAAAATAAAGTTTACGTATTTTTTTATACGTGCTAATAAAGCCCCTGGGGCGAGTTATAAGGGTTGGAAATCGGGGCGAAATGTATACAGGTGTCCCGAAACTCAACGTCAAGCGGGAACTGGGTGAGAGGCCAACCCACACCTGTTCTGGTAAAAATAAGAAAAAAATTCTATGTCTCTTAGTTAAGTGGTAACACACATATTTTTGAAAATGTTAAAAATCGTTCCCGTATATCATATCTTTAGGTACTACGGTCAGAAATGTTCGCAATTTAATAGTGATTTTTTTAATAATGTATTCCTCATGAACCATGCTACTATAGCAGTCAAAATCGAACAACAAAAGTCGTTAGTTTTGCAAGAAAAAGTATTAGTTTGATTGAGTTAAGGTTGAAAGAATTTATGTCTATTAAGTTTGACACACGATTTCTAAACAAAGGACTACTACAATACCCTTGGCAAGTTATTTTAAAAGATGGCCTGTTTAGTCAAGATTCCAAAATGGTATAACACTTGCCATTTTTCTTTTCCTAAAAAATATTATTGCCTGTTTTTCGTATGTAATTTGTATTTCCTCCAAAATGATTTAACAACTTTGTTAGAAGATATACAACTCAATATCTACAGAGAAAAGTGGTTTCAACAAGATGGATGCCCATCTCATTATGCTTGTCCTGTACGAGATTGCATACAGAATACCCAGAAAGATGGATTGGGAGTCGTGGTTCGATTAAGTGGCCTACTCATTCTCTAGGTCTAAATCCCCTTGATTTTCTTATTAGGATTGCATAAAAGAAACAGTGTATTAAACACCGATTGAAAATCTTGCCGAAATGCGCCACAATATTTTTACAGCAGCAGAAGAAATAAATGCAAAGAGATTTGCACAACTAAAAGATCTTTTCTGCAACGATGCATGCTATAAAAAAATTCTATAAAATTAATAATAAATAAACTTGTTTGTTTAATTTTGTCTTTAGGTTAACCTTATTTGAAAGAGACTTTTTGCAAGACATAAGGGCAACCATCTTGTTGAAACCACATTTTGTAGTTCGTAGATATTGACTGGCACATCTTCTAACAAAGTTAAGAGGAAATAAAAAGTAAATACCAATAACATACAAAAGTATGAATTTTTTAAATAATTTGTTTTTTGCAGAAAAACAGGCCATAATATTTTTTATGACAAGAAAATTGGCAAGTGTTGTACCATTTTGAAAACTTGACTAAACAGGCCATCTTTTAAAATTACTTGCCAAGGGTGTTGTACTAATCCTTTTTTTAGAAATCGTGTGTTAAACTTGATAGACATAAATTCTTTCAACCTTAACTCAATCAAATTAATATATTTTTTTGCAAAACTAACCATTTTTGTTGTTTGATTTGTGACTTCTACAGTAGCATGGTTCATAAGGAATATATTATTAAAAAAATCATTATCAAATTGCGAACATTTCTGACCGTAGTACCTAAAGATATGATGTACGGGACCGATTTTTAACATTTTCAAAAGTATGTCTATTACCACTTAACTAAGAGACATGGAATTTTTTTTTTTTATTTTTACCAGAACAGGTATGGGTTGGCCTCTCACCGGGTGCCCGCTTGACGTTGAGTTTCGGGATATCCTGTATATTGGCTTATAGGCTAAAAACGAAAATAGCTATCGAAATGTGGTAAATGTAAACTGATATTTATTTTCAAAGAGCTTTCTATTGATATATCACACATATATCTTAGGGCTTCAGGGGGTAAACTACCCCTAGTTCTTTGGAATATTTTAAAAACTACCCTGTCGATTTTGGCGATTTTATGTGCCCTTATAGTACGTTTAAAAATATTAATGACGTGTTTTTTCTCCTCTGACCATCCCCTGCAAAATTACTGGGTATGATAGATAACCCCTTTCCTTAAGAATAATGTGATATAAACTGTAACACTTTTGAACAATATTTTGAAGTAAACCTTAAATTAGTTGTAAATTAAGATTTACGCAGTAAAATAAACCCTATACGACATTAAGGGGTGGCTGGGGTTAACTACCCTAACCACGCTAAAATTTTTTTTTGCTAAAATTGTTTGTCGATTTTGGTGCAATTTCCCACGATGATTTTTTTATACGTTAGGTAGTATTATTGTAAGAACTTAAAGGGTTAGAAGTTTGGGGTAGAAAATATATTTTCGCTAATAACTTTCATACACCTACAGAAAAAGCTTTTTTATCCTTATTCTATTTAAATAACACAAAAGTTAGGATAATTATATAAATATTTATTAATAATGAGTTAAAAAGTAACTGACAAAAGAATGGTTGACTATCACAAATTGTATTCTACATTGTTAGTTTAGTTTTTTTTAAATTTATTTTTATTTAACACGTTCAACCCCGAGCTCGAAATGGCCATTCGGCCCCTGGGACCACGGATTAGAAATAATATTATTAAATAAATATTTTTTTTATAGTGTATTATTTTATTTTTACCCTTATTTTTCCTTTTTTACCGATTTTTTGTATTTTTTTTTTTAGTGCCCACCAGTGGGCTCGTTGTCCCACGATGAAATTTACATCGTAGGACCGAATGCCTACCGGTGGGCACACATTTTATTTTTCGTTTGTTTCAGATTCTAAGCAATAATGGCACGAAGAAGAGCTCTTACAGAAGCAGAATTGGCCTTCGAAGCGGAAAATTTGACTGATTTTGATGCTTCAGATTTCTCCGATGACTCCATTGCAGACCCTACTTTCTCCCAAAATCAAAGCTCCAGTTCTAGTGGAGATGAAGGAGATAAAGAAGTTAAATCATCGGATGTTGAGAACGAGGACGAAGCTGCTGAAGNTTCCATTGATATATCACACATATATCTGAGGGCTTCAGGGGGTAAACTACCCCTAGTTTTTTGGAATATTTTAAAAACTACCCTGTCGATTTTGGCGATATTATGTGTCCTTATAGTACGTTTAAAAATATTAATGACGTGTTTTTTCTTATTTGCCTCTGACCATCCCCTGCAAAATTACGGGGTATGATAGATAACCCCTTTCCTTAAGAATAATGTGATAAACTGTAACACTTTTGAACAATATTTTGAAGTAAACCTTAAATTAGTTGTAAATTAAGATTTACGCAGTAAAATAAACCCTATACGACATTAAGGAGTGGCTGGGGTTACCTACCCTAACCACCCCAAAATTTTGCTAAAATTGTTTGTCGATTTTGGTGCAATTTCCCACGATGATTTTTTTATACGTTAGGTAGTACTATTGTAAGAACTTAAAGGGTTAGAAGTTTGGGGTAGAAAATATATTTTCGCTAATAACTTTCATACCCCTACAGAAAAAGCTTTTTTATCCTTATTCTATTTAAATAACACAAAAGTTAGGATAATTATATAAATATTTATTAATAATGAATTAAAAAGTAACTGACAAAAGAATGGTTGACTATCACAAATTGAATTAATTGTCTGTCTGCAAATATCCCTTGTTATTGGGTTTAGGTTTAAATATTCTAAGTTTCGCCTTCTTGTTTTGTGTTGACATTTGTTGTTCACTTGGTTCATATAGATTATAAATAAAAGAGGACTTAGGCTATCGCCTTTTTTTCTCCTTTATCCATGTGGAATTCTTTGGGTACCTGTCCGCTTAGTGTTAACTTTCCTGCTGTACAAGCTTTTAATCACTTTTATTAGTTTATTTGTTACTTGTAATTCTTAGTGCACTTCCCAGATGTGTTCTATCGGCACCTGAGTACAAACCGCCTTCAGGCCTAAGAACTCTAGGACGATTTCTTTTCCATATTCAGTGTATTATCTATTATCGCTCGAAATGTGTATGGTCTTGAGTTTGTTTGCCTGGCGTGAATACCGCTTGTTCATTCTGTAATTCCTTCTCCACTTCCTCTTTTAAACGCTTTTCTATTATTCTGGTTAAAAATGTTAATACTGTTGAGGAGAGACACATTGCTCTATAATTTTCGCACTCTGTGGTATCTCCTTTTTTGTAGATTGTTACTATAATATTATTCTTCCAATCTTCAGGTATTTTTGTGCGTTCATTGCTTGGTTGTACATTTTTGGTTAACTTTTCCGTTATAGGTTCCTGTGTCTGCTCTTTGTCTGTGTCTTCCTGTTCCTCCTACCTTTCTATGTTCTCCTCTGTTTTTCTGAAGGTGTTTGCATAATGTTCTTTTCAGGCTTCTAGAATTCCTTGTGTTGTTATTTCCAAACTTTAAAATTGTGCATAATAATGTACAATTTTAAAATTATTGTAGATCAGTGGTCATTTAATTGAATATTGGTCAGCTTATTTAAAGCCCCAAAAAGAACCTTTGAAATGCAATGCAACAAGTATTTGTAAAAATTGTTGTCGAGCGTATCGTACGTACAGCAAAGAACGGACTGTTTAGAAACAGTTTCGTTGTAGTCAATTTTTAAAGTTATATGACAATTATATTGACTAATAAGTGCTGTAACTCTAAGAAGTCAAAAAATATCACAATCTAAGATTTACTAAAATATTTTATAGCTATAGTGATAAATAACCGTAAAACTCACGTGACTATTACTTTTAGAGTACAAAATAAGATTTTTCTGATTGTAAAGTTGCATATTTAGTGGTAAATAGGCATTATATTAATTTGTCCGATATAAATTGTTCACACCATAACACTACTTGGGCTAAGAAACAAGCTGGCGGAATTTATAGAGGTACTTTAGGAGCGGTATTCTTATCTGTTATCTATTTTTTACTTAGAAACTGCATAATTTCCAATTATATTAATACATCGATTGTATTAGTATTTTTTTTTAATATTTTATATTTTACTTTTTAAAGATCACTAATGGTATTTTACTTCCATCGTTACGACCAATGCTTCCGCTTCTAGACCTTCACGGTGTGAGAAGACTCGATTTCCATACTTCTGTTGTGGAGGTACTTTTTAGTTATTTACCTTTTTATATGTTATTTATAAATATGTCTATTTATTGTATAGGCACTTCAAGAAAAACTAATATCACACATAGATGAAATAGGCGCAAAAGAAGGAAAAGAACGGGATAAAAAATTAAAGGAGCTATTAAATAAGAGCTTTCCAGTTGTAAAAGTGAAAGCCCTCAGACCGATTGTTATGTGTATTTTACGAAATACCGCGCAAATAGAGGATCATTATCTTAGAGTGTTAGTTAGAGATCGCGATTTGTATAATGATACAGATACGGAGGTGAAAAGACAAATTTGGAAAGATAACCAATCGTTATTTGGTGATGAAGTCTCACCTTTATTAAGCCAATATATTAGTGAAAAAGAAAATATTTTATTTGATCATACTAATATTACAACACAATTTTTTGGGCCATCGCCAAAGGTATTTTTTTTTAAATGTTATTTTTTGAATTAATTAAATTTTTTTAGGTGAGGAGGCAAGGAGAAGTAGTTCAAAAATTAGCTCATATGATAGGAAATAGCGTTAAATTATATGACATGGTTTTGCAGTTTTTACGAACGCTATTTTTACGAACAAGGAACGTTCACTATTGTACGTTACGAGCAGAATTGTTAATGGCACTTCATGATTTAGAAGTTCAAGACATCATTTCCGTGGATCCGTGTCATAAATTCACTTGGTGTCTAGACGCTTGTATACGTGAGAAAAACGTCGATATTAAAAGGTCCAGAGAACTCCAAGGATTTTTAGATAATGTAAAAAGAGGTCAAGAACAAGTTTTAGGAGATTTATCGATGACGTTATGTGATCCATACGCTATTAATTTCTTAGCTACATCTGCTATTAAAATTTTGCAAGTATTAATTAATAACGAAGGAATGCCCAGAGTAAGTTATTATAATGAAATTTAAAAAAAGTCTTGAAAATATTTAGTTGAATTTGTATGATCTTCAATTTATCAATAATTCTTAAAAGAAGGAGAATTTATGTAAAGTGTTGTAACATTTACTTAATAGTGAAGAACGTTGATTGTTAATGTTGGAATATTAATATAATTTGTTATAAGTTATAAAAAACAAAATCGTTGAAAATAGTGTTCTATTTCTTAAATAGATTGAATAGTTCGTTTTCAAGAGATAGTGTTTTGGAAAATTATTAAAATTAAAAACCATACAAATTCAATGTAAATAGAAAAATTGAATTCTCTAAGCTGTGCTAATGAGGTGGTCCGAGCGATCGGTATAATTTTTATTTTTTGAACCGAAACTTGAAGTTCAAATAAATACGCCTTAAAGCTTCGGTGGATCTTAGTATCAGAGACCTGCAGCGAATGGCTCACATAGCGAATTATATTCGCTGATTCGATGTTTCGGTGTTGCCTTCATTCGTCAATAGTTACTGTGAATCATGTTGTTTGGTGTTCTTTCTTAAGTATTGTCAACTGCGAGACCTGCAACGAATGGCTCTCATGGCGAATCATAATCGATTCGCTGCTACTTTTCGTTAATTCAAACAGTTCCCTATAACGTATTAAAATGTAAAATTTTACTGAAAAAGTGTAAAACTTGTACAAATATGTCTAAAAATTATCAAAAATGTTCGACAATGATTATAAAGTTATTTAAAAGCCCAAAATTTGTTCAAAATCTTTTAATGTTGACTAAACTTTTAAAAAATTGTCTAATATAATAAAAATGTGTCTAAAACTGTGTAAACCTATTTAATTATTTCAAATCACAAACATTTGTGTAAACTTGGCTTAATTTTCACAAAATTTAGTAAAAATTATCTAAACTTGATTGTCAAACAAAATTGTTTAAATTTGTCTAAAACTGTGAACATGAACATGAAAAAAAAAGGTCTATAATAATCATACTATGTATATCTAAATTTATGTAAACGTTGTTGTGGTCGATCTACGACAGTCTACCGACAGAAGACTACGACAACGCTCTGAAGATGCCAGGTAGGATCTTAGCGAAACGTCTGTCCGTTTCCAAAGGGAACCAACAGGAAGAACGGATGAAATCTCGGATCGACCAACAACACATAAATGTTAGCGCTAATACAGGCTGAGTTATTAGTATCCCGGCGGACGATAGTTGCTAAACTGTTTAAGAAAAAAATGTTTTATATAAAAGTTGTTTGACACATCACTTTCTATTACGTAAAATTATTTCCACTTATACAGGGGTTTCCCATTTATTCGTAACGGAGAGTATGTGATTTTGTGAAATCGAACACCCTATATATTTTATCATATTATGAATAGCATTAAATTTTTTTATACAACCGAATATGTTATTAACTCATAACGTTCATAGTTTCTAAGATATTCAATTGTTTTTCCAAAATGTGTTCATTGCAGGATCTTTTTAAAAACTATGTAAAAACATTTTTTTCAATTTTGCCTTGAAACTATGTCAGATAATAGTGAAAGCCAGTAAGTAGATGATAGTATCCAAAGATATTAGATACGCTATACAGCGTGTTCATAAAGCTTAGTTACTTTTGATGTTTTTCAAATGACTTTTGCTTAAGTTTTTTAAATGGAACACCTGTATATTGTGAGCTAGTTGAATTGCCCATCAAGTTACCTTTAATTAATGATAAGTATGTCATATATCTAATTTTAGTAATTTTGCTGATATTTAGAATTTAAAGAATAATGTGTAATAAAATATGCGTTATTGTACTTAATATTATATTCGGTCTATTTTTATCAGTTTTTTTTTGTTCTTCCTTTTATTATTTGATTAATATTTTATAATGTAAAATAATTTTGCTGCCATATACCAGATTTTAATGCGACTTGGTACTTTATGAGATTTAAAAAGATGTACTATAAGTAATAAAATATGCAATTGTTCTGCCATATAGAACATTTGCTGCCCTTCTCGGATTTGTCAAGCTTGATGCTTTGGATGCGAAATGTATTGCAAAAGCAGTAGATGAGTTTTTGGCAGAAGAAGATCTTGATCCGGACAAATGTGTTGGTTTAGGATTTGACGGTTGTTCGACGATGTCCGGGAAAGAAGGTGGTGTGCAAGCAATCCTACGCAGAAAATATAAAAAAGCTTTGTGCTTTCACTGCTCGTCA